AGGAATTAATTCAATCTGGAATTCTATCATTCGATCTGGAGGTAAATTTATCAAATCTTCTGGAAACACCTCAGGAAATTCCCTTACGACTGGTATATCTCCCATCTTTCCCTTCTCTTTCTTCATATCTATAGCATATGCAAGAAAACTAGCACATCCTTTTTGTACATACTTCCTAGCCTTTAGAACTGAAATTAGGCTAGAGTAACGATCCCGTTTATCTCCATAAATCACAACTCTTCCTTTCTCAGGTAAGTCTATATGAATCATCTTCTCATTACAGACTATATTGGCTTGGTTTTCAGCTAACCAATCCATGCCCATAATTATATCAAATTCCCTTAAAGGTAAAGGAAATAAATGTATAGGTTGAGTGATTTAAGAAGCTGTTTATTGAGCGATTAAGAATCTGTTTCATGGATGGATTATCTTCATAAAGTGAGCAGACTACATCATATTTTGAGCGGTTCAGAATCTGTTGAGCAGCATGTGTTGAACTAGTGAGAGTGAGTTTGAGCGGTTTATTCTACTACTTGTGCGGACTTGAGCGGATTAAGCTCCAAGTAGTGAGCGATTTTAATCCTTGGTGAGCGATTTAGCTCTTTATCGGACACCTCCTAAGCGAATTAGGCATAGTAGTAAGCGATTTAAGCTATGCTTTGACCGGATAAGGAACCAGCGATTTACAACATTTGTTGACCGGATAAGCAGCTAGTATTGAGAGGATTATCTTCATGCTTTGTGCGAATTACATCTTAGTCTTGAGCGGATATGAAGCAAGCTTGAGCGATTTATTTTAGACTTGAGCGATGTTGACCGGTTTAAGCTCCATGCAGTGAACGCACTTGAAGCTACAGTGAGCGAATTAAGACATCCATGCAGTGTGCGGTTTACAACTTATTTTGAGCGATTTATCTTGAGTGAAGTGTGTGATTTATAACCTGTGTTGAGCGGACTTGACCGTATTTAGAGGCTGTCTTGAGCGGTTTTAAATATGCAGTGAGCTGATTTTACTTAGTGTATTTTCAAGCTTGAACGATTTAAAGGCTGTGTGTTGAGCGGATATTGAGCGGATATAAGCCTATTTGGTGACCGGATTAGAAAGCAAGTTTTGAGTGGATTTCATGCAATATAGTAGGGGTGCTCACGGCCCGGGTTGATCGGTTTGGAGTCGTTTTAACAACCCAACCCAATGTTGGCGGTTTGAAAATTTTCGACCCAACCCAACCCAACCCAAACAAAAGTTCAACCCAACCCAACCCAACCCGTTCGGGTTCATCGGGTTTTTGATCACCCCTACATGGAAGGGTACAAAACAAATTACTAACTGCGAATAGTAAATATAATTAGTAATTATAAGCATCCAAGTTTC